TGGAGTCCCTGACCTTGTAGAGGTATTTCATGTTTCTCTTAACTCAAGGCCATTGAAGATATCATCTAGGCCTAAATCGCTGCTGACAGAAACTCAGGTTGGATCTGGACCTAGGAATTTTTTCATAACCGTAACATTATAAGTGCTACTGAAATAACCCAGGTCCACACGGAATGCTGCATATACATTATTTATTATTCCAGTGGTGTTAGCCTCTTCTCTTTGAACCTTAATTTTACACTCAAAGATAGAAAATTAATTTCTAAACCCATCAAATCAGACTGGATTTTGAATTTCTAGCAAATATTTTAACTTTCAGATATATTTAAAAGTGATAAGATATTAAGCTCTTTATAAGAAAGTGAGAAAAATCAAACTTGTAGAATGACACAATAGGTTAGCAGCTAGGTTACAATTTTATTAGAGTGAATTCAAACTTTCATAGTAAGAACTCAATGTTTATTAATTTGTTTAGAAAAATTGGAACTGTATCTGAAAAATTTATGATTTATGCTTAACTTATTAAGTAATATGGCAGAAAGGAGACAATGAATATTTGAATACAAAGGTGTATCCTGTCCTACTCAATGTATTTGTAATGGGTGGAAATCATATTTGGTTAAAACTATACACACTGGCACGCATAGGTCCTCTACTGAATTTCTCAGCAGATTCTTTGATCCACTCACTCCATGTTTAGCAAATGCCTGCTCTGTCTGAGGTACCATGATTCTGGAACTTTAAAGACAATTACTTCACAAGCCATATTTTTGACTCAGCCCAGGTCTTTGCATTTAGAAATGTTAAACTTCTGCTAGTTAAGTGAAAACATTTATCAACTGGAAATGCAAATAACTCTATTAAAAACCCAGCACTTCAAATGCATCACATGGAGTTTTGAGGTTGGCAAATTCCACCAACTCAACAAAAGTCAGACTTCATCCACTGCACCTTACCGCTCTCTGCCATTTCCCCAACCAACCCTCCTTGCTAACAAGTCCCTACATTCTGGCTGACCTCCTTAGTACCTTTTCCATGTGTCAGCTAAAATTACAATGCTCACTTCTGCCTTCTTGTATTACTTTATTCTCAGTTCACTTCAGAAACAGGCCGTTCTCCCATCCTCATCCTGCTCAGTGTGCGTGACATCCTCCTCTGTCTGCGTGACTCTTCGCTGATTCCACCCGAGCAGATTCCTTCCTCTCTGTTCCTTCTCAGGAGCATCCCACCCATCTGCTCAGCGAGAAGCTGAGCTGCTTCACTCTTTTTGAAACTCCTCACCCAAGTAGACTACTGCGATTCTTTATGTAAGGTCTTGTTCATGGAGCTTACATTGTTCGTAGTGGGAAGAAACAGAATAAATGTGTGAACACGGATAAGAGGATGACTGTAGACGGAGAAGTGATAAAGACAATGGGATACAGCTGGTATAAGTAGGCTGGACGTTAGATAAAGAGGTCAGTGAAGCACACTGAGGGTAGAATAATAAGAAGGAAGTTGGGGGCTGGGGATTTAGCTCAGCGGCAAAAGCGCCTGCCTGGCAAGCGCAAGGTCGTGAGTTCGGTTCCCGGTACCGGAGGGAAAAAAAAAAAAAAAGAAGGAAGTTGGCCATGGGAAAATTGTGTGGAAGATGATTTTATGCAGAACGCAGGAGACGCAAGGCAGCAAGAGAGAGCTTGGTACATTCCAGGAACAGGCCAAAGTCTCAGGCACCCAGACCCCTGCAGCCAAGGACAAAGGTGGGCCTGTGCTGGGGACTTCCTTCGCACTGTCACGTGACAGACTGCCACCAGCTACCTACCGTTCTCCATCTCAGTAAGCTGCTCCTTTCCACAGTCACCCCTGTTCAACTTGCAAATACTCAAGACATGTTCCACGTAAAAATAAACTCTGCTTAACACCTGCTGCTCTTCAGAATAACTTCTAATTTTAACTCACATCTCCCCCAAATAGTGCAGGGTTTGCTCATCTCCATCCCCTTATTTATCTTTTGCAGCCATGCTTCTGCCTACACTATCATTTTCAATGTTCCGTCCAAGATCATCAGCGACTTCTCAGTTTCAAATCCAGTGATCTTCCCTCAACCCTCACCCTTCCTGACTTTCTGGTACATTCTGGGCAGCCTTCCTTTCTAAATATTCTTTCCTCTATTTCCATGAACATATTGTTCTCATATTTCATTTACCTTGATGACTCTTCTTGGACTGTTTCCTCCCCAACTTCTCAAAGTTGTTTCCTTAAGTGATTTCTTCACTAATGTTCCTCTTCCCTCCCTTCTTTCTTCTCTGGATTCTCTTTCTTCCATCTTCCTTCCTTCCTTTCCTGCTGTTCTTTCTCTCTTTCTTTCTCCCCTCTTTTGTTCTCTACCAGCCTCACTTACTCCCAAGGTCTCAGGCAGTGTGTCCTCTGTGGGTGATTCCTAAGTTGTTATTTTCCCAGTCTTGTCTTAGGATATCCAGAAGCATTCCTCAGTAGCAAGTAAACATCACAGTGGCACTTGGAGCTCAACATGGTCCCAAAGGAATTCATCATCTTACTCCCTATATCAGAAACTTCTCCACCGTTTCCATCTGATTAGGGCTTGAACTTATACCTAATAATGCTAACTAATGCTGTCTCTGCAGTAACTCACAAGCACGTCTTCCCTGTCTTGTGCCTCCAAGATACCCTGCTGTCACACACGCACCTCTTACACACCTTCCATGGCCTCTCTCTGGGACTGTCCTTTCTCCTGCTGTCTCTTGCCAACACCGACAAAATCACTTTCCTAATAATAATCTGAATCTTGACACTTCATTGCTCAGAAACTTTCAGTAGCTTCTCAATCCTTTACCCCATGAGGCTGAAATATCTGTCACAGCTTTGGAGACTTCCAGTGATTGCTCTCTTTGAGGATTATCACTAGCTACTCATCTAGATTAACCTACCTGCAATGGTTTAGGTGCTCTTGGTTTTTGTTTTTCCTTTGACTTGGAATGCCACTTTGCATATCTATTAGTCAAAATCCTACACATTACTTAGGTGTAATGCAAATGACATCCTTTCCAGTTAATTTTCCATGATTTCCTCAGCAGAAAATTATTTCTCCCAATTTTACATTCTGCCATGCACTATACAGTATCTGCAAATGTGTTTGCGCATTTTTGTGTTGTGGTCACTATTATTTCATAACTCTTTTGAAGTTAGTGATCACCATAATTTTTTCTTTTTTTCTTTGTACTCCCACAGTGCCTGGGGTGATATATTTTTGGGATATAGAAAACCTTGCAGAAATGTTTGGCAAATGAATTACGAATGGTTTATGAAAAGTAATCTGTAATCTAAACATTAATAACACATAAACAATCTGAAAAAAGTATTTTAGATTAAAAATAAACATCTGAAATATAATTATAGAAGACAGTATATACAGTGAAGGGCTAAGTTAGATGTTTTATAAATCTGGTTTGGCTGTGTCTATTTTTCTTAAATCAAGATGCCCTGGATTCTGGGCCATTTGAAAACATTTACCTAGAAATGTCTTGAACAGTCAGCAAAAGTGCCTGAAGCCAGATGAGGGAAGAGCTAACAGGAGACAAAGAGATAACAGAAGACAAACGATGACATCATTGTTCCACTTCACCAGACCTGTTTATGTGCCATCAGCAAAGGTCTATGGCTATTTTGTGTAAGCAGGGTTCCCTAACTCCAGAAACTTTTTATATTTTAGCATCAGATTATTATTTATTACTACTTTGATAGAATGATCACTAACATCCTCACCTAGTAAATTATCTCAGCCGGAGGAGAAGGCCTGAAATTGCCTTGTTCTTGTTCTTGCATTCTTTCCAGCAAAGGGGAACTCCTCAGCTGTACACGGAGAACATATCTCAATCACTGCCACTGTCCAGGCCCAAGCCTCTACCACCTTCCGTCCGAGCTATGGCAATCACCTCTTAACTGTTCTCCCTGTCCTCCTTTGTCCTCAACTCAGTGTATTCTACACATGCCGCTGTAGAGAGTGCTTTCAGATTACGTTATCACTCCGTTACTCAGCACCCACTAAATCTCTCTGCACAGAGTGTAATCAAAGCCCTCCCCACGGTCCTCGCAGAGCCCCTATCCTATTTATTTTTGGGTTCAGGGACATGCTGCCAAGGGCAAAATCTGCTAAAATTTGACTTTCAGATGAATTAAGGCACTATATAGTGAACACCGTAAGACCATGGGCTACATAAAATCAGTACATGAATGTCTAAAGTGGTGTTGTGTGCTCTATGTGGGCTCAACATCATTTGAAGATGAAGCAGAGGCAGAAGGAACTGAGTATATTAGATGATTCTTAAATCACTCTTCCCAATTTTCTTGGTCCCAAGACAAAGACAAGTATTAGGGAGTTCAAGGAGCAACTTATAGCTGTTAAGATTAATGGCAGTTCACACTTAATACCTCATTAGAATATTTATACTTCTTTGGAATATCAAAAGGAAAAATATTTGAGAATATACCTTGAATGTAAATCAATTCAAAATGTGCAAAAACTATATTGACATTTATTTCATAAGATGTAGTTCTAAATTACTTTTTCTTATTTCTGCTAAAATATTAACCTGGAAAAATAAGTCATTATTTCTGTTCCATTGTAGTAAAAACTGTAAACTCTAGAAATGATTATTAGACAATGAAGGGATGATCTGAAACTTAGTTTTAACCTAGGAAAATTTAGGGTTATAGCCTAAGAAATCCTAATCAATATAATACTTAACAGTGTTATAATACCGTTTTATCACAACGTGTATTAAACAACTATGGAATGGAATATTCCACAGAATCCCTTCTGTAAAGTCCAGCAAAATTAGAAATTTCCTAGATGATTTTAGAGTTGCTTAGACCCAAAGAAAGATTGCTGATTTAGAGTTCATAAACGTGAAGAACAATTCTATGTCTACTATCTTTTAGAGATTAAGAGACGGGAGTGGATTTGAAACATGAACTGTAACTGTATCAATGGGCTGTCTCACCTTGTCCAGCGTCATCTCCGTTTCTGCAGCGTGCGTCTTTTTAAGCTCTATTTTCATCTTTTCTGACTCAGCCTTCAGTTTGTTCACAGCAGCTTCGTGGTCCCTTGCAACCCTCTGCTTTTCTTCTTCTCGAAGGAGACCGAGCTCCACCAGCTGCTGTTTCCTCTGGGAGTTCACATGAATCAGCTCCTCCCGCAGCTTGTGAACCTGCATCTCCATGTCAGCAATAACCTTGTTTTGAAAAATGGAAAAAAGAGCAGAAGATATGAACAGGAAAGTTACAGAAGAACAACTTTAGAAAGTCGGTAAAATATGAAAACATGAAATATAAAATATTTTAGAAGTTCCCTTCTTTCCTTTTTCTCAATCTCCTAAAATCCTTCAGGTTTCTTTCTTTTCTTCCTCCGTTCCCCAGTCTCACACTATTCCCTCCCAGCTCCGAGGGAATTACCCTGGCACATTTTACCCTATACTTGAGTCTTTAAACAACAGTTTAAAAAACTTTTCTTATTTCTAATATTTAGGTAAGTGGAATATTCCACGTATTCTTCTGAAACTTGTTTTTCCAAATACTCAACACCACATATTCTTCAAATCTATTCAGTGTTCTCCGTTGCATTTTTGTTGTTTTTAGCTGTTGATCTTTGCTTTCATTTGGCTGTCCTTTTAATTTCTTCAGGTTTATTTTATATTCCTTTTTCTAACTTGCTTTTTTGGATACTTAACTATTTGTATCTTTTCCTTTCTCATCTATAAACATAAGACTATAAATGTCTATTGTTTTATTTCCACCTGTTAGTTTAGATGTTGTATTTTCATTAGCATTTAGTTCAAGATTTTTTAACTTCAATTATTTTCTTTCACATGTGAATCATTTAGGATTATGTTTAATTCCCAAACATATGGAATATACTCTTTCCCTGGGGCTGCTACAACAAAGTACCACAAACTGGGTGGCGTAAAAGAGATTTATGTTCTGGTAATTCTAGGATCTAGAAATCCAAAATCAAGGTGATAAGAGAGTTACAGTAGTTCCTTCTAGAAGCTCTGAAGGGGAACTTCCTCCGTGCCTTTCTCCCAGCTTCTGGTATCTGCTGATAATCCTTGGTATCCCTCGCCTCCCTCTTACATGGATTTGTTCTCTCTGGGTATCTATGTCTTTGTACTTTCGTCTTTTTTGGCATATGGTCACACTGGGTGTAGGGACAAAGAATGTGGTATATCTTCCATTAATTCTTTGACAATTATAGAAATTGATGTTTTTATATATTCAATATTTTAAAAGTTTCATGTATGGGTGCTAAGAAATGTTTATTTAAAATTTTCTGCAGTTGTTGAAAACATCCCATATTTCATATATGACCACTGGGTCAAACATTTCATTGTTGAAATCTATATTTTACTTGAACTACTACTTAAGGATGTACATTAACATCTCTCACTGTAAAGTTTTACTTTAAAATCAGAAACAAGACAAGGGTGTCCACTGTCACCACTCCTGTTCAATATAGTTCTGGAACCACTAGCCAGAGCAATTAGACAGGAGAGAGAAATAAAAGGAATAAGGATAGGAAAGGAAGAAGTAA